GTATTACCACTACTACTATGGCTAGTAGTAGTAGTAGGTTAACTCTTAGATATTACTATTATCAGGGCCTCCAGGATGTGGTAAATCATCACTTATAAGAGTATGTGCACAACAGGCTGGTATAAAGATAATACAGGTTATAGTAACATCATCATCATCATCATCATCAGTCCTCGTCCTCCTCATGGTCGTCATCTAACACTTATTATTATTATTATCCAGATTCAGTCATCATCCCATCATCATCCCATCCCAACATCATCTAATAATATAATTAATAGGATTCAAAATGCTGTTCTACTCGCATCTACCACATGTAATTATTACCTACTATCATTAGTCTTATTAATACTCATTCAGCTAACAATCGATTATTACTATTACTTGATAAGGTAATAGTAATACTACTACATACTACGACGGCGGGGGCGGGGGCGGCGGCCACTATCTACAGTCATCATTACTAAGGTACATGAGATGGATCCAAGTGATATCGATCTAATACTAAGTATATCAAGTATGGGTGATACAACATCAACAACAACAAAGAAGAGTAGTAAGAGTGGTAGAGCATACTCAAGCATGAGAAGAAGTGGCTACCATAAGACTATCGAAACACTTCCAGTAATCATTCTTCATCATATCTTGCATCATCATCATCATCATTTGGTAGATTGTGTGTATATGTGATGATACTTGCGATGATGGAGATGATGATGAAGCCTTACAGAGATTGCACTCATCATCAGCACTCTCATTGAATATACCACCAATAAGCTTATCAAAACTACAGGTAGTATGTGGATCAGTATCATATGTTCGTATCTATATTATTATAATCTCTGCAGATTAGGCTCAATTATATATTGAGAAAAGAAACATCTCCTGTAGCGATGGTGAGTCATGATGATTATGATGATGAGAGTAGAAGACCTCATTACTACATGATGATGATTGATTCAAAAGCTGTTAGTATGTTAATGGAGATGACTAGAGGAAATATTGGCATGTTAATTAATCGTCTACAAACAATAGTAATCATGAAGAGGAATGAGATGTGAGCTGAGATTGGAATATCTTAGAGATAATGGTGGGGATCACCACTCTGGTATTTTCAGACGAGGAAGAAGTCAAAAGGATGATGATGATGGTGCTGTTGTTGATAGGCATCATCATCATCTTATAACAGTTAATGATGTTAAGTTAGCTGAGGGTAGGATCATTCGTGGACCATTGGAAATCGATAATGTAATGGCGACTGATGCAGTATATGCAGTAATATTTCCCGCCGATCAGGTGAGAATGGGCAACAATTCAAAGGAGGATTCTAACTTGGAAGGATCATCATCAATGGTGAAGAAAAGGAAAAGTGTTCATATAGAGGATGGTATAATGGAGTCATCCTCATTACCACATCTTCCTAATACTTCACTTCTGCCGCCGCTACCTAATAACACTAAACGTGCTAGGATTGATATACGACAATGGTTGGGTGCATCATCATCATCTGACTTGATCGCTGACGAAGAGGAGAAGGAAGGTGATTGTGTCGCGAATACACTACTGCGTGATGAGTCAGAGTTTCAAGATGGTAGCAACAACAGCAGCAGCACTATATCGGACTCTAGATTATTCGAATTCAACTTTAATGAGGGCCATACTAATGCTGTTAAAAAGATTGTTTATGTGAGGGACCTTATACTATCATCATCGCCTTTCAGCATTGCACCGGAAGTGCATCATGAGTAATACAAATATACGAGTATCTTCATTACATGTTGTGTTACCGTCTCGAGTACTCATAACGTCGTTACAACATGTGTATCAGCCAATACTGATCGGTAATCACCACGTGAACTATTCATAATTAACTTGTCATCGTTTGTAGTACCATAGTAGAAAATGCTATGAGATCCCCTGCTCGCGATTCTCTTCTTACGAGTTGACGATTGGATGCAAGACTTGATGTTGAAGTAGTGGTGCAATACATATCATGATGGGTTGTAAGTATCTCCTCACAGACGCGGAACGGCCGCCGCTGCCGCCACCCATGATCTGAGTTCCAGATGGGTTTAGAATGAATAACTCTCAAGTATGGAGTGCGATAATT